CCAATCCAGTCTCACTCAAGTTCATCGGTGCAGTGTTAGCTGGGGCCCTCTTCAGATTCATGTGTCTGCAGGCTTATGCCGATGAAGGTGAAGCAGCAAGCAGGTATCACAGGCTCATGAGTGCATAGACACTTGGATGCAAGTTTGGTGGAAACATGTCAGGACACCAATAGCTGTTATAGTTTGGTGGCCCACATGGGACTACCCCAAGGGGAAGATACAGAGTCCCAGTGAAGTCCCAGAGAGGAGGAAGTCGGAGTGGCAGAGAGAGGTTTGTGCTGTCATGCTTTTATTTATAAAAGGGCTTTTGACATAAAGGAGATATCACCAGGCTGCAACTTGATTGACATGTTCGACCCACCCCTAACCAGGAGTATCTATTTGACATAATTCCTAACGATCATATCCCCTTAAGATTTTCATAATTTTTTTCTTTATTCCCCTAAGGGGCTGCACCACTCCCAGAAGTCCTGCAATACCAGGCTGATGCGTGGAGTGGATGGAGCAAGCTCCTAGTCCAACTCCTACTTGCAAAAATAGATTTAATATGTTGTCCTCAAATAGAGGACGTTTCAGATATTAAACTGATAAGAACAGATACTGCACTTGATCTTAGCCAAAAGCTTCAGCATAAATTTTGTGTTTGTGCTTGCTTCAGTTTTTAAAGGATTCATGTTGCCCTGGCAGGGGTTCTTTTAAAATTAGCATCTTATCCTTCTTACTGTTTCAAATTAGATTCTATTCATATGTGTTATAAGGGGTCAGTACAAGTTCATTTTGATGGGAAAAGATTTTTAAATACATAAATATTTTTAATAATATATATTCCTATGAACTTTTAAAGTATTCTCCAATAGATCAAAGTAAAAGATGGAGTAAACACTCATATAAACAGGAAGGCTAAGAAAACTATAACTGCAGTATTAATTTTGCTGTTGTTAGATGCCATCAAGTAGGCTACAATACACAACAGAATCAAACAGTACACAATTCTGTGCCGTCTTCACAAGTGTTCCTCTACCTCAGCCCATTGATGCAGACGCTGTGTCAATCCATTCATGGAGGGCTTTCCTCTTTTAGCTTCCCCTCCACTTTACCAAAATGATGTCCTGAAGGGGCTGACCTCTTCTGACAATATGTCCAAAGTGTGTAAGAGGAAATCTTACCATCTTTGCCTCTAAGGAGCATTCTTGCCTTACTTCTTCCAATACAGATGGGTTTGTCCTTTTAGCAGTCCATGGTAATTTCAATATTCTTCTCCAGCACCACAGTTCAAATGCATCCATTCTGTTTCCATTTCCTAATTCAGTGCCCAATTTTCACATGCATATGAAGCAATAGAGTATACCATGGGTCAGAATAAATTGGTTCAGGCCCACCTTTGTTCTCAAAGCAACACCATTGCTTTTTAGTACTCTAAAGCAGGGGTGCTCAATACGTTGATCACGATCTACTAGTCGATCGCAAATGTAGTGTGGGTAGATCGCATGGCATTAAAAAAATAGACATTAAGCCTATCATCAATCCTGTCACTTAATTGATACACAGTGCAGCCAATCAGATGCAATTGTAGGTGTCAAATGCCTGCACAAACAACTGCACTAAGTGCAGCAAACTTGACAAGCTAAGTGATGGCCAATTTTCAGACCTTGATTTTTTTCTCTTAAACGTAAGAAAGGGTATTAAAATGAGTGGGGGAGCTGGACCAAGTAAGAAGACAAAACCGTGTCACTTTCATACGGAATGGGAGATTTTGACACTACAAGCTGACATTCAGCTGAAGTCCAGAGCGCATGAACAGTTCTGGAAGCTACTCGCAGAGGGAAAATACCCAAACATGAGAAAATGTGCTACCTCCTTGACTGCATGATTCAGCTCTACTTATTTATGTGAGTCAGCCTTTTCCTACATAAAGATCATTAAGTGCAAGTACTGTTCCACCACGACTGATGATCATTTGGAAGTGTGCTTGAGGCTGGCTGTCAGCAGCTTCTGTCCAAACTATGCATCCCTGGCTCATTCCATTCAGAGCAAGGCATCAGAGCAAACTCAGGTAATGACAAAAAATGTACAGTTAATTGTGTTGCATTGTGAAATATGGGTTCATTCGGTTATGCAAGGTACATAAACATACATTGTCCATATAAAGAATTCTCAATGCATTTATGAATAAATGTAATAAATGAATACATATGTTTTGCATTTTTGTAGTTAGTCGATCATTTTGACTTGATCATTTTATAAGAAGCTCACTGATGAAAAAGTATGAGCACCCCTGCTCTAAAGAGATATTGAGCTGCAGACGTACCTAATGCAATAGGTCTTTTCATCTCTTCGCTGCTGCTTCCACGAGCATTGATTGTAGATCCAGGTAAGGAAAAATCCTTGAGAACGTCAAACTTTTGTCCATTTATCATGATATTGCCGATTGGTCTGATTCTGGGGATTGGGGTCTTCCTTACATTGAGGTGTAATTCATACTGAAAGCTACAATCCTTGATCTTCACTAGCGAGTGCTGCAAGTCTTCCTCATTTTCAGCAAGCAAGCATACTGCAGAAATTTTTTATTTAATAAATAATTTTACTGTGAGCTCTTACACATATTATAATAATCCATACATCCAGTATATCTAGAGGATATGTACAATTGTTGGCATCAACAATTTCTAAACATTATCTTTCTTCTGGAGCCCTTTGATATCAGCTCCTTTTTATTCCCTTCCTCTCCCACCCTGCCACCCCCAATAACCCTTAATATTTTATGTATTTTTATTGTTATTTATACATATTATTATTTATGCATATCTTACATCTCCCATTCTACCCCTTCACCTACTTTCCTGGTATTCATCCCCCTCTCTGGGGGTTATTCCACCATCATTGCTATCTGTTCCTCCTCTCCCCTCCCCCTTGTGCACCTTTCCCTTCACCTCCCCTCCTAGAATCATGACTTCCATTACTGTTTCTGAGGGGCTTTGTCTATCCTGAGTTCCATATATATTGAAAGTTCCCATCTGTGCCGCTGTATGTACACCAGTCTAGCAGGATTATGATCTCAGTCCTAGAGTAGATTTTTAATAAGCCTTCCTCCAACCCAGATGCTGCACTCACCTTCGTATAATACAGCTTCTTTGATGATTTGCTCAGCATACAGATTGAACAACATGGTGAGAGGATACAACCTTGATGCACACCATTCCTGATTTTAAACCATGCAGTTTTCCTTTCTTCCATGCACACAACTGCCTCATAATCCATGTACAAGTTCCACATGAGCACAATGAGGTGTTCTGGAATTCCCATTCTTCCCACAGTTATCCACAA